GGATGGCGCACGAGCTGTCGTATGCATGTACTTCCTGTTCGGCTCCCGTGCATGTGGGGCTGCCTGGACGCCGAGGACGAGATCGGCCACCACGTGCAGTGCCCAGGGCTCCTGCACGGGGCTGCCCCTCCGCGACAGCGCCCCCACGACGCCGTGCTTGAGCGGCTCGCCCTGGGCCTCACCGCGAGCTGCGCCGGGGAGGGCGCCGAACGCTCGATGGCCGCTGCCGTCCGCTCCACACAGTCCTCGCCTTAAGTCGGGCCTGTCCCTCTCCTGGGGGGCATTTTCAAAAATAGTACAAAAACAGTCCAGGGACGATTTTTGGACCATTGTGGCATATTTTTGAAGCATTTTGGGGGTAATTTTCATTTTTCCTCCAAAATCCCCGTGTAGGGGGACATGCCCGACCGAATCCTCGCCCATTACCACCACATCGAGATCAAGAGGTTCGGCCCGCCCGACGAGTACCGCAAGTGCCGGCTTGCCCACCTCACCGCCAAAGGCAGGCTCATGTCGTGAGCCCGCCCCGTCCCGCGGAGGCGCCGCACAAACCCGTCGCAGCCACGGTCGCTCCTGCTCCTCCTCCTCCTGCTCCTCCTCCTCCTCCTCCTCTTCCTCCTTCTCCTCCTCCTCCTTCTCCTCCTCCTCCTCCTCTTTCTTCTCCTCCTCCTTTTCCCCCCTCCTCGTCGTTCGTAGTCGTCGTATTCGTCGTCGTCGCGGCGGAGGTTCTTTTCCCACGAATGTTAGCCGTGCTGGATCATGTTGGGGGGTCATTTCTCCCAGGGAAGAATGCCCCCTGGGCTACCCTGCGCGACAAGAGCTTTGAGCACGTTTGCAGGAGGATTGCAATATAGATCGGCACATTATTCGCCGAAGGCGTTTCTCACAATCTCCTCTCTCATCTCGTCGTCGTCGTCGTCGTTGTTGTGCGGCGGGTGCCGCGGGTAAGTAAGTATTTTCTATCATTGGTGGGGCTCTGGTCCTCAATAATGGCGTCGAGAGAATAATTCGATTCCATTATTGAGGGGGTATAAAAACTTGTCGCGGTTATATACTTGCACGCGCTCGCGGGCCCCATGGCAAATGCCCAGAGCCCAGCTGCGTCATGGCTGTCGTATGGAGCCCCGGGGGCTCCTCGTCGTTGCGCCGACTCGAGGAGTCCACTAGACGCACGAGTGGCCGTTGGCCGGAGTGACCTCTGACGCGGGCCCAATAGACGCCGGTCGTTGAAAGCAGGTATTTTTTGATCTCCAGATCCCAATCTGCTTCAAGCGCCTTCCTACTTCAAGAGCCGACATGCTTTTGCTGTGTGTTTGTGGTTCTCTGGGAAGACCTGGACCCAATCTACTATACACCTTAGGCGATGCTTAAGAAAACCTAAGTTTTCGGCCAGAGTCTCGATTATTCTTAACGTTTCAATGTAAATCCTAAGATTTGAATGGAAATTTTGGTGTTTTATTCAAGTTCTGAGACTATGAATTTCTTAACCCATGATTTCTAAAGCATTTCGCAAGGTGTATCCGCCGTCCTACTTCATGTTTCTGCCTGCTTCGTGCGACCGACGTGCAGCGGGGCCCCCCGATCGCTGCACGCGAGGCGGCAGCAGCGGCGTGCGCGCCCGGGTTTGGCCACCCCGCGCCCCCCAGAAAGCCGCGCACCAGAGGGCCACTCTTGCCCAGGGTCGCTCCTGCGCGTGCTCGAGGGAGGGATTGCAGGAAGGATTGCAAAAAAAAACCCTTCGTTTTTGTTTGCCATCCTTCGTAGAGCGTTTTTTTGTTTGGCAGTCTTTCGTTTTTTTGCAATCCTTCGCTGGTGGAAGGGGCCGGATTGGGTTCTGCCTGGAGTTCGCGCTGCGGGCGCACGGAGGCGTGCGGGAGAGGGAGAGGGGGAGGCCGCGGCGTGTGCTCGAAGGAGGAGGGAGGGAGAGAGGGAGAGAGGGAGAGGGTCACTCCTGCGTGTGCTCGAAGGAGGATGAGAGGTGGAAGGGACCGGATTGGATTCTGTCTGGAGTTCGCGCTGCGGGCGCACGGAGGCGTGCGGGAGAGGAGAAAGGGAGGAGAGGCCGCGGCGTGCCACAGCTGGACCTGGCTGGCCAGGGCCTCCCGACCGCGCTCCCCGACGCTCGCCTCCACGGGGTCCACGATCGTCCACGGTTCGTCGGAGCCCCGAATCATCCGGGGTAACTCGGGTGAGGGATAACTCGGGTTCCTTTTTCGGGAATCCAAACCCGACTTACCCTGGACCCGAGTTACCCCGGATAACTCGGGCGTCCAGAGCCCCGAATCATCCGGGGTAACTCGGGTGAGGGATAACTCGGGTTCCTTTTTCGGGAATCCAAACCCGACTTACCCCGGACCCGAGTTACCCCGGATAACTCGGCGTCCAGAGCCCGAATCATCCCTCGGGTGAGGGATAACTCGGGTTCCTTTTTCGGGAATCCAAACCCGACTTACCCGGACCCGAGTTACCCCGGATAACTCGGGCGTCCAGAGCCCCGAATCATCCGGGGTAACTCGGGTCAGGGATAACTCGGGTTCCTTTTTCGGGAATCCAAACCCGACTTACCCCGGACCCGAGTTACCCCGGATAACTCGGGCGTCCAGAGCCCCGAATCATCCGGGGTAACTCGGGTCAGGGATAACTCGGGTTCCTTTTTCGGGAATCCAAACCCGACTTACCCCGGACCCGAGTTACCCCGGATAACTCGGGCGTCCAGAGCCCCGAATCATCCGGGGTAACTCGGGTGAGGGATAACTCGGGTTCCTTTTTCGGGAATCCAAACCCGACTTACCCCGGACCCGAGTTACCCCGGATAACTCGGGCGTCCAGAGCCCGAATCATCCGGGGTAACTCGGGTGAGGGATAACTCGGGTTCCTTTTTCGGGAATCCAAACCCGACTTACCCCGGACCCGAGTTACCCCGGATAACTCGGGCGTCCAGAGCCCCGAATCATCCGGGGACTCGGGTCATAACTCGGGTTCCTTTTTCGGGAATCGAGTTACCCCGGACCCGAGTTACCCCGGATAACTCGGGCGTCCAGAGAGGGTAACTCGGGTCAGGGTAACTCGGGTTCTTTTTCGGGAATCCAAACCCGACTTACCCCGGACCCGAGTTACCCCGGATAACTCGGGCGTCCAGAGCCCCGAATCATCCGGGGTAGCTCGGGTCAGGGATAACTCGTGTTCCTTTTTCGGGAATCCAAACCCGACTTACCCTGGACCCGAGTTACCCCGGATAACTCGGGCGTCCAGAGCCCCGAATCATCCGGGGTAACTCGGGTGAGGGATAACTCGGGTTCCTTTTCATCGGGGTAACTCCATAACTCGGGTTCCTTTTTCCCGACCCGAGTTACCCCGGACCCGAGTTACCCCGGATAACTCGGGCGTCCAGAGCCCCGAATCATCCGGGGTAACTCGGGTCAGGGATAACTCGGGTTCCTTTTTCGGGAATCCAAACCCGACTTACCCCGGACCCGAGTTACCCCGGATAACTCGGGCGTCCAGAGCCCCGAATCATCCGGGGTAACTCGGGTGAGGGATAACTCGGGTTCCTTTTTCGGGAATCCAAACCCGACTTACCCCGGACCCGAGTTACCCCGGATAACTCGGGCGTCCAGAGCCCCGAATCATCCGGGGTAACTCGGGTCAGGGATAATTCGGGTTCCTTTTTCGGGAATCCAAACCCGACTTACCCCGGACCCGAGTTACCCCGGATAACTCGGGCGCCCAAATTCGATCGGTCGGCGATCTTCTCATCTCGGTCAGGTGGTCGAACTGCAACTGGCGCAGACGGGGTGAGATCAAAGCGAAGGGTCGAAGCTGTGATCGAGCTGACGATTGGTCGGGCGCCAGCGGCGAACAAACTTCCTGTTGTGTTCCAAGGCTGGGTACGTCGCAGGAGTTTTGTTCTCGGGTGCAGTCTGTGCCTGGTGTGAAACATCGCGCAGGCCTATTATTCATATACATCGCTACACAGCGTGCCAGAACGCTTTCAGAGCGTTCTGGGGCGCTCTGGGACGGGCGCGGGCTCGACACATCCTCCGGATACGCTGGCTCTGAAAGATTTCGAGTTCTCTCGGCCCGATGTTGTTTTTCTCGAGCCCATGTCTCCAGACATCCGCTCCTAACGACTTCGACTCATCGCGCACGCTTTCCAGCCCCGAAGGAACTACGGCAGGCCTCCTGAGTGGCTGAGGGGGCATCACGGCGTCGCGCTGGGACAGCGCACTGGGGGAGAATGGAGAGGAGGAGGAGGAGAAGGAGCAGGAGGAGGATGAAGAGGAGCGGAGGAGGAGGTGCAGGAGGAGCAGGAGCAGCAGCAGCAGCAGGAGCAGGAGCATTAGCAGGAGCAGGTTGAGAGGGGGGGGGGGAAGGGGAAACAGGGGTAGCACGAGGAGGAGAGGAAGGAGGACGAGGAATAAGGAGAGAAGGACAAGCTAGGTACGCTCTGACCTCCTACCCCTCCCGCCCACCCCTTCCCATGGCACCGAGTGTTTATCCATCCGCGCACGCGCGCCACAGCGGACCTGGAATTCCAAAACGAACCCACTCGTGTATGCGCAATTGGAAGTGGGGAGCTGCGTACATTGGAGGAAGAGGTGGCGGATAAGCATGAAGCATGAAGATGAGGAGGAGGAGGAAAAAGAGGAGGAGGAGGAGGCGGAGGAGCAGGAGGATGAGGAAGGAGGAGGACGAGGACGAACATCATCAGCAGCAGCAACAGCAGCAGCAGCAAGAGCTTGGGTACCAGGATCATGCGGAGCAGGGAAGGCGGAGGAGAGAAAAGGAGGGGGGGATCACGATGAGGAAGGGCCCGGATCCAGAGGAGACGGTGGGTGAGGAGGACGAGGGGAGGAGGCCGGGGCGGGGTAGGGGGAGGAGGGGTGTGGCTGGGGTGGGGTGGGGGGAGGGCGAGGCAGGAGGGTCATCGCGTGGCGTAGCCGCCAGGGTGCCCCTCGAGCGCCCGCCGTGGGGCCCCTGCCGCTGGCGGCGCGCCGCAGGTCGATGGCGCCGCCGGTCGAGGTGGCCTGGCAGCCGCAGGCCTCCGACGTGGCGTCTCCCACGGCGTCCTCGGCCGGGGGCCCAGCGCGAGACGCCCGGGGTCTCGGCCGCGCGTCGGAGTTCTCGTCGAGCTTTCGGAGGTTCTCCTGCGTTCTGTGGGGGTTTGCTCGCTGCGGGGTGCCCTCCGGCAGCGGCGCCTCGTCGAGGGCTTTCCAGGGGTGCCCGGGTCGTCCCGAACGGCCGCTGGAGGCCCGAGCTATGGTTCGAAAACTTGCAAGCAGCCAAGAGGGGCGATGACCAGGGGTGGTGGATATCATGGTTCGGGCCATGATATCTCTTTCGATCTCATGGCTTCCTTTTTCTTCTTCTTCTTCTTCTTATTCTTCTTCTTCTCTTTCTTGCTCAAGTTCTTTCAGTGCGTCCCCTGTGCCCTCCCTTCCTGGTCCGCGCACATGCCTCCTGCCATGACCTGCGAGCCTCCCTCTTGGACGCACCCGAGTTCAGGGCCCGGGATGCCAGGAGACTGTAGACTAGGACTTCGCCAGATCGGGTGGGGAGAGCGCGAATCATGGACAGCGATTCGACCCGCAGCTGCAGCATCCTCTGGAGTGCCAGGAGATTCAGCATTGGCGCTGGCGCAATCCAGCATGGTCCGCCAGATTCCGTTAAATCCCGCTGGATCACGCTTAATTTTGCCTAATCCAGGGTTTGGTCTGGGCTAATCTGGTTCAGTGCCCCCTCAATCGGGCTTCACAGCCCTTCGCACGTCTTGGGAAGACCTCCCAGGAGTTGCCTCCGAGCTGTCGCGGGTTTCGGGGGTGGCCACGAGGGGGGCCATGATCTGGGGGGGGGGGGGGGGATATCCCATTGCCGGAGCCATGATATCTGTGGTCCCTTCTCGTTTAGCTCGCTACGTCCACTGGCCTCCCCCGCCGCCCGCGCACGTGCCTCGAGCCATGCCCTGCGGACCTCCCCCCCGGGGCGCCTTCCGTCCCCGGGGACGCCCCCCGGGGCCCCGACGCCCGACGATCGTCGCGCTCCTCGGGGCGGGGCCCCTTCCGAGCCCCGCTTCTCGGCACGGCCCCCGGGGCCTCGGCGAGGGCCCCCCGAGGCCCAAGCCGGCGCAAGGCCTCCGCCCTGCGCTTCTCGGGGCGTCGGGAGGTCTGGTTGAGCGCTGCGGCCGAGGCTCGGCGCCGCTCCCGCTGGCGGCCGTCTCGCGGGCACGCCGCCTCGGGGGCGCAGCAGGGCGTCCTCGGCGGGCCTCGCCCCGCAGCGCTGTGTGTGGCGTTGCGCGCGGTGTGCGCAGCCTGTCGTGGGCAGCGCAGGCCGAGGGCCAGGAGGGGGAAGGAGGAGCACGAGGAGGAGCAGAGCTCGAGGATGCGGAGTGTATCAACAAGGTCAAGAAGGAGCTGAAGAGCATCGAGAGCCACCCGTGGGAGGTCGACGTCAGCACGCACGCCCACGAGCCGACGGAACAAGTCGAAAACGCAGCCCAGAGGGCGCGCAAGCAGACCAGCATCCTGCAGGACAAGCCGTACATAACAGCACCAATCTTCGCAGGAATCAGAGTGAGGAGATCGTGCCACAGGCTTTACCGCACCATAAGGCATGAATGGGGGCACGACCAACGCCAATAGACAGATCACCAAACTGGCCTACCAGCTACACGATGCCAACGTTCGGACCCTTACTGCTACCACAACCCTACAGCGACACGAGGCCTTCACCCAGATGATACCGAGTGCTACCAAACCTGTCCACTACCATATCGACCACTACGAGATGGCGCTTGAGGTGGCGGCGGCCATCCAGAGCGACTCCAGCAAACAGCCCACGAACGCCATGGAAGAGGACCGCAGTGCACTCCTGGACATTACATGCGCCGTGTACATCGTGGGTGGCATCTTTCAGAAAGGCCCCAACAAGGAATGGTCAGCACTCCGGAGGCTGTTAACATCTTGGAGTTGACCACCGAGGATCGCAGCAGAACGCCAGTATACCGTGGACAAGGATGGAAGCCCGATCCAGAACCTGGACCAAACAGCTGAAGCGACACCGCACGACTCCGCCATCCACGCGACGGTCAAGTACGACGAACAGAACTACGAAGAACGTATCTTCATATGTTCCATGACAGACTCACACCACAACGTGGCCTCAGGGTCTGAACTGATCTCACTCATCAGCTACTTAGCAGACGCACTCCACGCATCAGGCGCCTCGACCCTCCACCCACCACGGGCAACATGCATGCTAGAAAAGAGCCAACGTCACATCATTTCACCAGCTACACGCGAGCAGCCCAAATACGTTGAACTCGAAGACGCCACGCACCTTGAATGCGAGCTACCCGACCAAGTGAAGGGCACTGCACGCTTCCAGCCCAACGACCATGCAGGCCCAACACCTCCAACGCACAGTGAGCCCAGAGCACCAACCAGGCACGACCCCAAGTGGCCACATATCATTGGAAGCCTCGGACCTAAGCCCATCACAGAGCTCTACCCAAGCAAATGCGTCATCTAAGGCGTCTGCAACCCGACATACATAAAAGGCCGAGCCACCCAACGTTCTACCACGCCCTCATGGACCCCAGTTTACGCACGACCCACCAGAGTTCATACAGACAGAAGACGGGTTTCGATTTCGCGCAAACCTATCACCAGACGAAGAGCATTAGGCACTTGTACAACAATATCTTGCAGCGTGGCACGACACCTAGAAGAACTAGTGCGACCACTTGGAAGAGCCACGCCGCATGTGCAACGGCCAGAATAATTTGCTAACACCAGAGCAACATATACCCAACATCAACTTCAACATAAAGAAGGCGAACTACGACAAACAAATCTACGAACACAGCCGCGAATACACCCCACTCGTGCCCCCACGAATGCCGATGCCATCGACGCAGGCCAGTGAGGACGCACCAACGGCCCAATGGCAAGATGGACCGCCACGCAGGCTACGACATCTCTGCACCAGAGGACAATAACAGCGACGGGGGCGACCCATGGGCCAAGATGAGCACAGCACCCGACTTCCACGAAGCTTCCCTATCACCGCTTAAACCAAACAGATTCCACGACATGCACCTACCCGGTGGTTGGACCGCCGGCTGCCACTGCGCCGACGATGCAGACGATGATGTCCAAGGAGAAGAGTTATGGCAGCATGCAGTATACTTACCACGAAGCAACCAACACATACACATTCCTATTCCCCAACGACAGTATACTACCATCTGGGTGGCGCAGATACCTCAACAAGTACAACAACGAGACCTTTGCCCACCCAGACCGCATTCAGTACCTATCGCGCCCACCGCTGCGACCCGAATCCCAAGCCACGCCACTAACCGCCTACACCCTCCCCCTTACGACCTGCACGAAACTGCTTAAGCTCAAAAGCGCCGCAAACGCAGACTCGCGCCAACCGCTGCACAAACCACCCAAGCGCCCGAAGTCCGCGCGACGCGGCAACGACTTGCGGGCATTTGCAGCACGACACCGCGACGGCCTCGCATCTGGAGTACAAGTCGCCCAGACCTACGATCACATCGTGATTGCAGGAGGACGTGCGCCGCTCGACGATGCCAAGATCGCAGCCATAGAAGAAGTCGCACAATGGCTCACCACCTGCCGCGACGAGCACGACGCGAAGTGCAACTGTGCAGCACGACGACGCGACGCAGCGCTTCTACTACAACGCATTTGCAATCCACGTGGCCCAAGGCCACGCCTCGCCAGCAAGCGCGACGACGGCGACAGCCCCAACGACAGACCCTCATAATACAAAAGACGGCAAACACCAGCCAGACCACCACCGCTACCAGCGCAGCCCATGCTCAAACCGCTCGCGCCCACGCCACCGCCACCTTGGACTGCCAGCGACGCCCTGGCCAGCCGAACAAACACAGCTGACAACCCACGCAGCCAAGCAGCGGAACGCCAGACTGCGCAGCAGCCAACGCCCCAACATGCTCGCACCACCAGCAACCACAAAGCATGACAGCCCACCACACTCGCAACCAAGACAGAGCACGACCCCGAGCAGGCCCATGCCAACTACACACATCAGTAAGACGACCACTGCAATTACGACTGCACCACGCCAGCGACATTTGCCGAACACACCCAAAGACCAACAATATACAACAGCATCGGCAACTACACCCTCGCCCACATTCACTGCAATGATCAAATGGTCGCCACCGTGCATCTACGCGCCACCACGCCCGCCGCCGCCTGCACTTCTGATGGCGATCGTATACCCGCCAGCAGAGGATGCCAACACGCAGCAACGGCTGCAATCCATCCCTTGGCGGCAGTTAGCACCGCAGACGCTGGAAACACGGCGCGCTGATTTCCCGCCGCAAGCCGCCCAGGCAATCGCAGCGCGCCAGGGCGCTGCTCGAAGCGAAGAGCAACGCGTGCACATCTTGAACCGACGCATCATCCTCATCAACAAGACGGGCGGACCCTTTGTTCCAGAACTACATCGACAGGTCACGCGCGCGCCCAGCTCGCTGCGGCGTCTACCTCAACGGCGTACGCGAACGCGCGCGCGGAGCACCACTCAAGGAGTCACCGCCCAAGCACGCGGCAACGATGCGCAAGGCCGCTCCCAAGCCCAAGTCGGCATCCGCCACGGCGGGGCAACCGAACTGAACATGTCGACCGGACCACTGTGCCTAGTACATACGGCAATGCTCGTCTACAGCAAGTAGTACAAGTGGTTCATTTACCGCTAAAAGGGCCCCTACTGATAAGGCAGCGCGACTGCGCCAGCAGTCTGACAGTCGACCTTGACCACTGATTTGCAAGACGCGTCTCCTCTCTTTCCCCGCGGCCCTATTGACGCGTCAGCGGTGCTCATTGCTTGTAGGTTTGTGGTTAACCTACAATGCCCTGGGGGGCAGCCTTGGGATTGCTTTTGTTCTTTGTTTCGCACGCGTACTTCCTACGCCCCGCTTTCCTCGTCATCGCCGCGCGCTCCCACCTCTCCCTCTTGCGGCCGATAAGTTTCTCTGGGGAAACCTGGCGCAGGTTTTCCTCCGCGTGCCAGGGCGC